GGAAGAGCAGAAAAAGGCGGATGCTGCATCACTTCCTAGTTTGTCGTTTCTCTGTTATGAGGTTTGGTTTCAAGGTTTGCTATCTGGACCGGTGCTTTGTTTGATTACCCCAAGAGTTTATGAAAACACAGCCAGGGGCGCGTGACCTCAGCTGGGACCTGCACACTAACTCTGTTCCCACCAAAGCCCTTCTAAACTATGTCTTTTCTTTCTTAACCAGTGTCAAACCACTTTCACTCCAAGCCATGTCACCCTTCACATTCCCCCGGATGTCCCTTTTCTATGCCTATCTTCAACCTTTTGCTCCTCTAAGGCTTCATCTCCCTCTCTTTTATCACCCTTTCCCTTATCTCACTTTAAATGTGTCAACATTTGTGTCAACATATCCCAATAAAATACTATTAAAAACACATTAATTAGCCACACTGTTGCACTGGCTGAAATGTTCATTACAATGAATTCTGACTCAATCCCCAAAAAAACCATCCTGGGCAACAAATGTGCTATTTACTCCTGTTATATTTGCTCGAAATTAGTGCCCAGCTGTTTTACTGAGCCTTTTTTTTTATTTATGTTTGTAACCCATTTTTAAAGATTTATGTTTTCAAACCCAGTGGTTGAGGCTGAGAACCACAGACAGGGTAGGGAAGTCATAACGTATTGAAGGACTTACAACTCAATTATTGATTTTTTTAATGATGTGTGATTACAATAACAAAAAATATAAAAGAAAACTTGCCTAATCCTTTAAGTTTTAATGGTCTTGCGTTGGATGGTCGAATAGCTACTGAAAGCTCCTATTTCGACATTTGCACCCACTTCTCGCTGTGATTAGCCACCTGTGCGGTTTATATTTCTGTCACTTCTCATGTGAACAACCGAGTATGAATGTCTTCCAAGAGAGAAAATATGTGCTGTTATCCCCATATTTAAACAATATTGCGACTCCCCCCGTCGATATGACTCCAACATCAACAACTATAAACTTATTTCCAGATGTAGGAACTGGTTCCCTTCAAGCATGACTCAGCCCAAAGTTTGAACCTAATAGGCAGCAAAATACTGATAAGCTACTAAATCAGCATCCAACATCCAAGGGAAAAAATGCAGAATTGTGAAATGTAGAATTGCAAGTGTAGGGCCTGAAGTCAGCATCCTACGCCATCACAAGACGTGTGTGTAATTACTGACAGCTCTGTTCTTTGCTAACCAATTGACCTCTGTCTAACCTCAGAGCAAAGTGTCTGACCTCTGATCAAATGACACCCACTCCTTTGTCTTGTGGTAGAAGACGTGCTGATGTGTGATGTGTCTTACTGACTTTATGTACGTCAAGTTAAACTGACCTGAGCTGAACTGCACTGTCCAGACTGAGGGGGTGGGGGGGTCTGACTGGGTTGTCTTCATTAGACTGGTTCAGATGGGATTCAGCTGAATAAAATTGCTTTATCTCTCCCAATGTGATTATCCTCATGTCCATTTTTTTTCCTGGAGGCAGAATGGATGCTTTCAGAAACCAAAAGGACTTTAATAAATTATTTATTCGGGTCTTCTCTGTCTGTGCCATCCTAGCCTACTTTCCTCTGCACTTTGGGGGAAACGCAGTTACTTGTTGCTTACCATGATATCTCCTAGGTCATACATTATACATGGAGCTATTCTGCATCGTGCATGCATACACAGTTCATCATCACAGCCACAGTATGGTCCCATTTAAAGCCTCTGGAAGGAAGTATTGGTGCACCCAAGGAGAAGCAAGCACATGTGTGAGGAATAAAAATTACATCTACATGGCTGTATTGATTTGTATTCATACAACACACAGACACGTGCACACACAATACCCATCAGCCTGACATTAGAGCGTGCAGGTCAGAGCAGCGCATCCTTACCCTGCCAGTTGTTGTGTGTATCCACGGAGGCAGATGTCAGCAGAGGCAGCAGGCTGAGCGGTCTCCGCCGAGGTGTAGAGCATGCCTCGTCCGCATCACATTCACAGACCACCCGAGGAGCAGTGCACGGCTAAGAGCCAGGACTCCACAATCTGGGTCAGTGCTGCTGGAGGCATCCTTATGGGGAAGAAGGTAGCCACTGAGGGGAGTGCAGACGTCACAGGCCCACATGGATCCTAGCATCCAGCCACAGTCGCATCCTCCTGTCTGCAGCTGTCTTGGATCCAGATACAATGAATTCCTCTGAGTCTCAGCAAAGCAGCAAATCCACAAGGTCCTCACATCCACACACGACGAGAGCTCTTCTGCTACGGCAAAATAACAATGTCTGCATGAAGCACCAGCACCTCAGTGAAAGACTCTCTGTGTCCCTCCTCCTCCTCCTCCTCTCTCTGCCGCTGCCTAATTCACTGCTTTATCGCTCTATTTCTGTCTTTCTCTGATGCTCACCCATATTTCCACTTCACCGCTCACTCTCTCTCCCTCTCTCTCTCTCTAATTCTCAGCTGTGTCTCAGTGCTCTGCTCAGCCTGTGCCCAGAGGATGTTAAACATGTGTTCAGGGTGGGGGTTGGGGACTGCTGACTTCATAGGTGGCACGCTTACTTCCCACACTGATAGGTTAGGGAGGATGGCACTGTGCGCTCACATTTTGTGCACAGCAGCGTCTAACTGGCAGTTGCTTTGGACACAATCAGCTTGGCCTCTTTTTCTTGTAAATGTTCCTATTTTTGAATCAAACGTCTGAGCAGTTGTAGAGGAGATTAACGGCTGTCGCACTGTACTCCATTGGTGGAAATCTGTGTGATACAGAAGGAAGGAAGTGAAGAAGGAGGTGATTTTTATGTGTGATTCGATAAAATCACTGTCAGGTTACTAAATAGTCCTGCAGGAGGAAATCCAAACCTTACAGCCTCAGAAATAATATGCAGCACATGAGGGTTTTTGTTCTCGCTTAACTGCCTCTTTCTAGACAAGAGACACATTTCTCCACATTATAGGACGGCAGCAGAGGGAAAAGGGAAGATGTGGGAGGCAGAGAGTGTGTGGGGGGGAAAAATGGACAAACAGAGAGAGGGGGGAGAAAGGAAGAAGGGGGGAGGGAGGGAGGGGGAGAACAGAGAAATCAGCAAGAAAGAGAGGAAGAGAGAGAACAGAGAGCTTTGGAATATTAATAGAGAGCTGGAGACGGATGTAAAGAAATAAGCTCCTCTATTTCTGTGCTGTGACACACGGTCGCATCTCAGATGGTACGCTGTCAGGCTAAGTCATATCAAAGGGATGCTATGGTGCTTCTGCAGCAGCATGCAGGAGCATCCATGTCTTTATTTAAGCAGATCACACACACACACACACACACACACACATAAAATAGATTCAGTTTAGGCTTCGGTGGGGAAGTGCCTCCTAAATGGATGTTGTTTCTGCTGTAGTAAGATCCCAAAGTGCACTTAATCAAGGAAATGATGGCCTTGTGACAATCATAAGAGCCATTAGAATGACTCACATAGCCAATTATTCAGGAGGGGAGAGGAAGGAGATGAAGATGGAGAGGGGATTTTTGGAAAAATATGTAATTCACTGGTTTTATTTATAGGCTTCCTTTTTCTGGGATGTGAGACGTGTCTGTTGTCAAAGTGAAAATCAAACGCTTTTTACTGTTAGCTGAGGGAAAATTAGTCGAGTCAAAATAGATTTTATATGCATCAAAAACATGCGTGCGCGTGTGTGTGTGTGGAGAACAGGATACCTCTGGGCTTATGCTGTGACCTAGATTAGGCCTTGATGCTCCCAAGCCTGGCAGGCTAAGTGTGTGTGTGTGTGTTTGTGTGCCATCTATAGAGTAAATGCATGTGTGTCTAGATGCAGAAAAGAGAGGAAGACAGCAGGGAGGAGAGAGAAAAGGATGTGTGTGTGAAAATGGGGGGGAGAGAGTTGTGTATACGCATGAAATGAAGCTGCATGGCTGCGTTGCTTGTGTGACTAAGAGCCTCAGCTGGATCGCATACAAAGAGGTGAATGTTCATGCAGTAAGAGAGCTTATCCAAAGAAGTGCGCACACATTGATGAAAATTGCACAGCTTCTGCCTCAAAGGGCAACCTTACGTAAGTTGAGATGCAGAAAAATGAAAAATTACACAACATAATGAAAGGAGAGTAAATTCAGACACTGAAAGCAATCTCACTGGAAGAATTTGTGAATCATACCACCTCGGTTTGGGCGGAAAGCTTAACAGATTGGCAACTGCTCTCTGTATGTAGATTAGTTATCTGCTCTGGAATCATGAATTTCCATTACTTATGGCTTAAAATTAAAAAACTTTTTGGCTTTAGAAACTTAGTCTGACCCTGCCTTTGTGCCACATCCATAAGTTATTATAACCTAATGACTAAAATCCATACGTTCTAACTCCATTAATGTGCTGCTATTCAATGCTTTATACAGGCCTTATGTAAGAAATGAGTGGAATCATCTCGCCCCAGTTAATTCCTGACCTGTCCTCTGGCCAAATTTGTCTCCGTGTTATTAAATGGTTAATCCTGTGCATCATGAGCTTACACTGTGTATGGATTTTACAAGAAAATGTACTTTACTTTAAATGGTAAACAACTATAACCGGGCTGTTTCACTGTAGGATGTCAACGGAAACGCTGCCAAAGCGCTGGATGTTTCTAGAAGATTCAGTACATGACTTGCAGTAAAAATAGCTGTTTCACACACAGATGGTGACTCTCCCACAGAGTCATGCATGGTAAGGCTGATGGTGGAAAATGATGGGAAAAGACTCATCAGCAGAGACTCATCAGTAAACACAAGTGTCCCATTTGCTCCAAACAGGAAATGACACACACTTTTCCACTCTTGATACGCTGAGGTTTTATGGTTTTGGTCTTTTAGTCGGGTAGAGAAGAAATTCAGAAATAAAAACCTAAATCTCTTCTGCTGCAGGTGTCAGATTAGGAAGGCACTGAGCAGACAGGTGTGTTATAGAGGGTGTGGAAATATTTGTTTCAGTTTAACATGAAAAATAAAACCAGGATGAAAATGTTGAATTGATAAATGATTTATTTAACGTAGTAAAAGGTTATCACACACAACTTTCCTTAAAAAATGTTTTATTTTTTAATGTATGGGTAAATTAGTTTGAGCAATGTGTACACACGTTAATGGTTCCAGTTAAAATTGAATGTTTAACTGCGTTCCCAGAGCTCTCACCATGTAAACTGACTGTTTGCTAGCACACTTTGGATTTCTCCACATGCTGAACCAGTGTGTGTGTATTTTATTTATTAATTTATGTTTTATTTGCATTTCCAAAGCCAAAAGTACTAAAAGCAACATTTGTAAGGATTGGTCTCAACGGTGAGTTCGCCTGCTCTACCGTAAGCTGCAAACGTTAGCATCCCCTGCTAACTAGCTTCAGGCGTAACCTAGCATTACTTCATTATTGGCTTCTTATTGTGTGGGAATGCGGTTAGTCCTTGTTGAGGACCAGAACCTCCGCCGTGTGGGAGCCAAGATGCTATTATATGTCCTGCAGTATTACGTTTGCCAGACTCACTGATTTGTCTTCTTTATCCCTACATCTAAACTAAAATACTGTCTGAATATGCAACAATAAGGCATGAATGTAACCTGTGTGATTTTCAGCATTAAAATATCCAAACAGCGGCATGTTTTAGTACATTTTTGTTTATACTGTATTGTAGTAGGGCAGCTGGTTCTACCTTGGAATACCAGAATACTGTCCAAGTCTTCTACCTGTTTCTTTCCCCCGTTGAGCATGCAACATTTGGCAACCTATTTGCACAACCTTTAACATACACATTAATGCAGCCGTATTATTAATCCAAAAACATAATTATAAAACACTAACAGGGACCGTTTTGATCATTTAAGTCAGTTTTGTCGTTAATACTTGATGCAGGACTTTTACTTGTAGTGGAGTATGGCATTAATACTTTTACTTAAACGTACCACAAGGAGTTAAGTGGTTATGAAACAGTCTCAATTTCATACTGATGCCTCTATATGACCTACATAAAGAAACCATGAGTGAGAACATTTACTATTTCTATATAGTTATTCTTAATGCCTGTCACAGGGTCAGATTCCCCTCGAAATCAATGAAACATGGCAGTAGAAACACTACCGCTTTTGTCCACAGGGGTCGCCAGAATCATCACAAACAGAAAGTTTATTGTATCTGCTTTAGTTAAAGGACCTGAAAGTGGTAACAGAGGGGGGCAGGGTTTAATAAACAGACAATTCTCAGGGTAATTAAAGTGACATAATGATGAACTTTTGCTTGAGGTTTTACTGGTTTCGGCGAGAATTCGTTCTCACATATGGATCCTACGCTGCTCCTTCCAGAACTCAGCAATCCCTTGAGACAGTGCTAACTCCGCCAGGCCCCTGCACTCACGGGGGGTGAACCCCACCAGCGCGGTGCCCTTCGTGCCGACCCCCTGCCTCCCTGCCAGCTCTGCGACCCTCGCCGTGATGAGGGAAGCTGGAGCATGACAGTACGGCTGGCCGCCGATGCTGAAGGCCGGCCATGGTTCATCTGCACCAGTGTGACTAGGTGGGCTCCCCTTCACGCTTTCCACATTACAGGCGATTTCCACAGCGCCCTCGTGTGGCAAAGCCAGCACCTGCACCCCAGGCAGGCCCCCCGGGGTCGACTCCCTGATGGCTATGGCGATGTTGCGTCCCAAGGCGATGTCCTGGGTGTCGATAGTGACGTTGCAGTTCATGACGTATGGACTGGCCCCAACACCTGCAGGAGAATCAGCCAAATCAGAACTAGGAGAACACTTTCAAACTGTTAGACTGATTGTCTCTGTGAGACTTTAACCTGTCTCATCTACTTTTCCTTCAGTAAGTGCTGACCTGCTGGATTACGTTCATGAAATGAGCATTAAACTTGGAGCATTCAGCTTTCTGCTATTTCAGAAAACCACCAGGAAGGAATAGTCTACCGATGCTCCAGTTGGTGAAGGAATTCAAATTTATGCCACTCCTACAATGGATTTCGTGTCTGTCGTAATAAAATATTCACATGCCATATGCACAAACTGGAGGACAAAATTTCAGTCGAAGCTAATATGAAACTTCAGAAGTCTGAATAAGTCTAGTATTGTTAAAATCTGTTCTCAGATCAGTAGAGTGAAACGAGATCTGTAATCTCTGAAATCTGAAATAAATCGTCTATTCCCTCTGAAATGCAACTACTAAATGCTTCGTAGGTTTTTAAATAATTGTCGGTGTATGCTTCATCTGATCTTTTTATTGTGCTAGGAAAGTTTATTTATCAGTATTATTTATAGTCTTCCACACTGAGCTCCTTTGTATCATTTGTTTGTTTGTATGTACTTTGTGTACCAGAAGAAGCTCCGAACAAATTGCTCCCAGTGGGATTAATAAAGTTGTTGAATTGAATTAAAACCTTCGAGGGTGTATCTCTCCACCGCAGCTCAGCAAGGAAGCACTCTCCATACATAGTAGGTTCAATAAAGGAGGCAACTGCCCCAGGGGCTACACACCTCCTGTCGAACCAAAAGCCCCACTTTCACTGTGTGTTAGTTGCTTTTTGGTGATTTGATTACACGAAAATTTGTTTTGGGATTTCCACTAGAGTACAATATAAAGTGGGTCCTGCATTAAGATGTAATATTGTGGCCCTTTCTTAAAATCTAATTTTAACACCTTCATTACTGGATGCAAGTTGTGTTAAATCGAGTTAAAACAAACTTAACGGACACACAGAAAAGCTGGAAGGTGGTTTTCCAGTAGTAAAATATAATGAAGTTAGTGTGCTGTGTGTATTTGATTGAGAGGGAACAGAAAACAGGGAACCAAGAGCAAACTTCTGCCCACCAAACAGGTTAATCCGTTCATGTTTCTGCTACGCAAAGATGGAATTTAATACTTAAAGGCCTTAACATTAGAAGATACACTCTTGATTTGGCTAACTTAGACTGCTGAAGCCTCATATTAACTTCAGATGAGAAGCTCATCTTATTTGATCTCATTTATCAACCAGTTAGCATAACCAACTTTAACAATTTGTTTCCTGAATTTGAGTGTGGCTATGTACAGTTTAGGCCTCACTGCCATGATGGGGAGTCGTATTGTAATAATTTGTCATGAAATATTGTCACCTTTACTGCTGCTGCGTCATAATGCAGCTAACTAGTCAGACTAGTGGTTCCAGAGACCTTATTGATTTTAAGGCATGTTACAAAACTTTAAAAATATACACAGTAGGACTATATCTCAACATTTGGTTAACTTTTTTCAGGAAAAGTAAATGTAAAGTAAATTGCTAAGTACCATAAAACTCACGTTCAACTGTCATAACGGCAGCACAGAGAAAAAAAGTTGAAATTGCTGAAAAACAACCTGAAATTCAAGCTGTTAGTTGTCAAATTTGCAGAACAAAAAAAAGAGAAGTAGCAGAATTAGACAGTATTCCCCATTTTTGTAAAGCGAGGGTTTTGTGCTAAAGGAATTAAACTCCTGTCCCCAATAAAGGCAGTGTGAGTTCAGTGATTTAAGCAAATAAATGCCCGGGCTATTATTACGTTATACGGTAAATTGTCCGAATTGGCAAAGCTTCAGGGACAAGAAAACACTGAATTTGTCAAAAAAGAATCCTATTAAGTCTGTCTGTCTGTATGACAAATGCATGCGATAAAAAATGCATAAAACATGTACAATTGTAAAAAAACTACAACAACAAACAAAACTCAAAATGTATCTAAATCACTCGTTTTACACAAACTTCCTGCAGTTACTGATTTCACTGTTTGGGTTCATTGTACAGTTTTAAATATATAACATGAAATATTCATAAAATTATGTCACTTAGGGGTCGTGAGTTTAATAAATGATAGAAAGGGGGTCCCTCGAGGAAAAAAGTTGGGAACCACAGTATCAGACATCACTTGGGATACACAGAGCAAGTAATGTGGCTAGGAAAGGATCTCATCACAGTCAGTATGGACAGTAAGAATGAATCACTTATTCAGCAAACACATGCCATGGGATCATTCAGAGGTGCAGCACTTTAAATGTTTCAGTGTGGCTGTTTTTCTTTTAAAGGTCAAAGGAGAGGAGAAAGATGGCCTGTGGTTGAGCTGTAACAAATATAGTTTTGTACAGAGACAAAGTCACCTGCGTTGTGTAATCCTGCTAAAAAAAAGCAAACATGAACCTACAGAAACACGTCTGGCATATCAATTCTAGCGTACACTCTCTGCCAGCTCTGGCTCACCTGTGAGGCCGAACTGTTTCTGTGGCTGGGGCCCCACGTCGGGCCTGATCGCCTGCAAGTCTGGCGTCTTCTTGAACCAGCCCATCTCCTTCCTCCTCTGCGCCAGCCCCCGCTGAAGGGGGGAGTCTGCCCAGCCAAACAGGAAGGCACTGGTGCCCTGGACCCGCTCTGTGAGTCCCCGAGCCACAGCTGAGCCCCAGCAGGAACACAGACGTTTTAGTTAACCAACAAACTGAGCTCACGTCATCACATGCACACAGTTTCAGAAAACACGAGAACAACGGGAGCGTGACAGACAAAACACACCTGAGGGGGTGTAACTCAGACGGAAGCAAAATATGGACACATGGATCACTTATTACACGCATGCATAAATACAGTTCTTGTTAGTGAGTTTGCCAATTAATATTCTGCAATCACACCACAGAGATTAGCATACAGAGTGCACACAGACACACGCTGAGCTACTGCTAATTATGAGCAAGACACGTGGCAGCCAAGTCGGTAAACTGTGAAAGTAATCAACAGCACAGGAAGCTAAACAAGATGTCACATCATCAGCCACTAGACACAGAGCTAGTTATTTTTATATGCCAATGTGCTCAAGAATTCACATATATTAAAAGTGTGAAATTAAAATGACTAGTATGTTTGAATATCCCCTCACCAATCACGACACATGACGTGTTTTGCCAACGTTAGCTGGCTAACACTCAGACAACCATGTCAGTAAAAGCTCCAAAGCATGCAGTGAACAAATCTGACTCTGAATGCTTCAAATTGTATTCACTGTGTGTAGTGCTGAGCCAGTGTGCTGAATGTGGTGAAATCTGTATTTGTTGTCATTTAACATTGTCACTAACCCTAACCCTTATTTGGGAAGGAGGCCCTCAAAGGGATAGTTCAGGTCTTTTGAAGTGGAGCTGTACACTGAGGTCATCACCCAATGATTTGCAGAGTACCATTTTGAAGCTTCGAATTTGGCATTACGGCCTATTTTAAAAGTTTTATCTCAGTTTGGTGCGTTGAGCTGGACGGACTCACCGACAATGACACCACGCCCTAAAGCATTATGGTCTATTTTAGTCTAAATGGGCCATAATCTACTAAATGGACCATCAGCTGGTTAATGGAAGAAAGGTGGTAAACTAAGGATTGAGAACCATAAACCATCAGGAAACGTTTGACTGAGCTTCATGAAATTCAAGTGAGAAGTTGGTTATTTTCCATAAACCCATACTATGTGCACAACTCCCCTTGTTTTGGCACCCATGGGAGCTTGCCCCCCCTTCCAAATGGCCATTACATAGAATGCAAGGTTTTAAAAGATTGACCAGACACGAAAGCTCTGTCTTTTAATTATTTAGTGTCAATGACAGGCTCCCAATATGGGACAGTGAACAATGTGCTGCAATGTGGTATTTTGCCACTTAAAGAAAGAGGCCAAGCTAAAAGGCGGAATCAAATTCAGTTCAGAGTATACTACGTTTATTGGATTTTCACTGCTTTAAAATAACCCTTGCAGTCAGACAGCTTTTTCCAATGGGAAAATCAAAAAATTGCAATTTAACTCTGTTTTTTAGGTGTGGTAGGCCTTTGGAAGAGAGATAGATGCGAACACAGCTTTTCTTTAGGTGGATAAAATACGGTTTGGTTGCTGCCCCACAGCAGTACACTGTCCTGCCTCTTGCTGGTACTGTTTCGGTCTGCTTTAGTAGTAAGTACCACCTCTTCAAAAACCTGAACTACTTAATCGTTGAGCCTAAGGCCCTACCGGATGAGCTCATCACAGTAATTTACGTTTTTGACAACTTTCTAAATTACTAGTGGTATCTTATACCACACATGAAGCTAAAACAATTTTTATACAGCTTATATTAAATTGCCTAAAGCGAGGGGAAAATTGCAATGGTCCAATCACATTCATTTTTCCACCCTTGTGGCACAAACTGGATGTTACATTTTTTTAAGCACTGAAGGACGAGGTCCAAATGCTCATCTCTGGCCCCAGCCGGCTGCCGCACAAGGAATTACAAAGCAGGAGAAGGCAGCAATGTTGCCCTGGAAAGCTTAATGAATCAGATTCAAAGTATACTGTTCAATGTGAGTCAAGCTCAAACCAACGGAGGAATATGTCGTGAGTGCACTCTCTCTCACACAACACAACACCGCACACACACACTCCCACACACACACACACACACACACACACACACACACTCACCCTGAGCCTCTTTAGCACAATCCTCCGCTCCCACCTCCTCCCCCAGGGGGTAGATGGGTATTAGGTCGACGGCGCCCATGCACGGGTGGACCCCGATGTGAGCGCGCATGTCGATCAGCCCACAGGCTTTCTCACAGGCAGACAGAACCGCCTCCCCTGGAATATACAACAAAAAAATGTATGCATTCAAAGTTTTATTCAACCTTCAGCAGAAACACTGATCCAAGTCTGCAGGAAATGGAATTTAATACGATAAAATAAAGAGAATTTTTGGGGCAAATTAAGCCGATTTATTTGTCTTTCGGAGAGAGTGTAGGACATACAAACTGTAAACATCGACAGCTTTGTCCGCATTGTCACAAGGTTGTGTTCGGGATAAGCATTCAATGAGATAAACTTTTCACTCTGATCTTTGGCAGAAAAATGTTCATCCTGAAATTTTTTTTGTGTTTAAATCCCTGACAAAGCTTATTAAAGGATTTTTCCCTCTCTCAGAGGATTGGAGAGCAGGGGACAGGGACTGAATCCCTCTGCAGAGGCAAATAGCTGACTCTACGCTTCCCTCAGGGAGCAGCAGAGTATTTCACTGCGAGCGTAAAGGTTCAGTACTCACTGATGGAGTCGATACTGGCCACAATGGTGATCACAGAACGGTTGTAGTCTCTGTCGTTAAAGATGTTCAGCACTGCGGTCCCCTCTCGTCTAACCCCTGATTAAGAAAAGGAATATAGATTAATATATTTTAGATAAAAGGTGCTTGAGTCGTCTCAGTTCACTGCCAATGGAAACCATGTTTAGAAGCATCATTGAGGACAGGTGGGGAAGTGATTTGGACACACAAAGACACACTTAACCATCTTATCTTTGGTTTTAGCCTCTATTTTGGGTTGTAGCTTGAGAATAAACTATTTAGTTCTTTTTCAGCAAGACAGATTTGATCAAATAACAACATTTGTGGTATTAATTATCCCCCAGACTCATATAATTTAAAAATTAAAAATACGCTTGCCTTCTGTGTCGTATAATGCGGCTTTGGCCACAGTCTCCACCAGGTCTTTCCGGAGAGCCTCGGAAACATTGAGAAGACAAGCCACCAGTCTTCTTGAGGCCATGTTTCTGCAACAGCAAAAATCTGAAACATATAAAGTGATCAGACTTACAGCTGAAGAGCAGTCAGTTATTTACAATATTGCACTCAAACTCACATTTATCTGGACAGAAATGGAGCCGAGATCATGAATTTATTAACTCGAGTGCATGAAAAGAAGCTCAATAAAATACACTCAACACACTTCTATCTGAAATGTAAACTTCAGACAGAAGTATTGGTGTGTAACCTGTGTCATTTTAATGACTCTTCTCTACTTGTTATATTGTTATAGTTTTAGCATTTAACATAATCCCATAGTCACAAAAGGTTAAAGGGTCACTTTTACGTATAAATCCTTATTTTTTCTCTTTTGTTTTGATGCACCTGCATCTTTAAATGAGTCACCATAAGCATATGTTTATAATATATTTGTTTGTAATATATTTTTTATTATTCTGGAGTAGCTCTTTACTGAATGCATGGCGACCATAAACTACAACTGGTGCCTGTAATGATGATGCCATCTACAGAGAGTTGGTGGAGCTGCCTTTTACAACAGGAACAATGAAGTAACAGAAGACTACAGATGATGATTCATTTTAACAATAATATATAATATGATAATAATAACATTAATTGTTGTCTGCAAGGCTGCAAAGTTTACCATTCTGATAACAAAAGGACATTATAATATCTCCAGGAAATAAGAGCTGCTGCAGTATGTGTAAGAGTCCAGATTACCTGCATGAAAGGAGTCTTCTTCTATCAGCTGACAGTTTAATAGTTTATAAAGTGCAGCCTGAGGGAATTATTGAGCCATGTGCTGTTGCTCTGTATCAGTGCAGTTACAGAACATGTTCAAAGTCCAGCTGCGATGATCTGAGGCATGCAAGTCAAACACATGTGACAGTAACTCAATTATCGGCATACTTGCGTTATAGTGAATGCTCTTTGACCACTGGTGTGTGCAGTGTGTTCTCTGGTGTTGTGCCACGGAGAGAGAAAAGGGACATTCACTGAGTTTCTGCAGGTAAACACACCAACATGACACCAACTTCAGTACAGCTGCGGCCAATCCGTGCACGTAGACTTCAGCATGTGTAGCCAAAGATGAGAGTTCACTGCAAGAGGGTTCACTCCTTAGTTTTTTATGTACGTATTGATGTGCGTATGTATACATATATGAATGTGTTTTATGGATGGTTTTACGCATCTATAGTCACAAGAATGTGAAAGAATAAAGAAAAACAAATATTTAGTGTATTTGTACTTTTATTCCCTGCGTTTGTTTTATCTGTATAATCATAATACACATAAACAACAACAACAACAACATATGCAGACAGTAAGATACTGGAGTAGAGAGCAAAGGATGCTGGAATTAATATTTTTGTGCGGGTATTTTTATATTCATAGTGCAATATGTATGTATCTCATATTTATTAAATAATGTAGTTCTTTCTGAATGTATTACTATCTTATTTTATCCATATTTCTTCTTCCGCAGCCCTCGACTGACTGAACGGTCAAAACCGGAAGTACATCGGAGTGTATTATCTTGCCTCCTTCCACGCTGAAACATCTCTGGAGTCAGGAAAAACCAGACATGCGCAGAAGTGCTCGTAGCCAACGGCTAACTGTCGGTCGGTGTGATTGATAAAACAGCGCCTCTTCGTGGACACAAACACCCCCGAAACTGCCCGAATTAAATAAAAAAAGTGTAAGAGTTTCTTCTGAAACTGCGACAACGTGAGATGAACAACAAATAGAACATAAAGTCCAATAATAAATATGTCTCTTACAGCCACATAAAGGCGCTTTGCCTCGCCGTTAGCACACTGTGACGCTGCGTGGCTATCAGAGGCAGCTAACGTCCGTTGGTAGCAGCAGTATGGGCTGACTGAAGAAAACGCCAAATCATTTTCTTATTTTAGAGTCCAATGCTGGCCGCCCGCTCCTCTCTGAGAACTGTAACCAAAACCATGACCTCTGTGGCAGCGACGACATCCTCGGACCCTCGGGGGCTGCGTGCATCCTCCAGCCGGGGTGCACGCAGCGGGAGCCCGCGGCAGAGGCTCCAGAAGCTGCCGGCGGTGTCCGGATCCAACCCGAGCCGAGTGAACGACCTGCTGCTGCTGCTGCGGGCCGACACCGACACCGACACCGAGGACCGGACCGGTACACGGCCGAGGGAGGAGAGCAACAACCGGCATGTTGTGTTTTTCCACGGGGATATTCAGGTGAGAGTGTGTATTGATCAGGGAGGTGAGGACTTTAATGTTGCTGAGATAGTAGCTCTGCTGATTGGTGTTGGTGGGTTTAAACTCTTTTAACATGCAGTTTGTGTCGCTGTGTATTTCTCCTGTGTGCGGGTATTGTCGTGTATTTTGCAGATGTCAGTAGTTTGCACACGGTGATCTTTGCTTTACTGCTTCATAAAAACAACCCAGTGAACCAAACCTGCAGGTTATTTTACACACAGAGAAGCACACTTTACACAGGGTTGTGTGTGGAAATGAAAGTCTGAAGGTCCTTCATGCTGCACACAGAGAAAACACATCAAATACACCATTAAATACAGTTATTGACACAAACATACACATATTTGTGCAGTGCATCTTTTAGATTTGCACCTGAGGGGATGTAAACAACCAGGTAGTGATGATAATATGGTTTTAACTCCCTCACAGTTCCCACTTTAGCTGCAGAGCTCATTGTGCGCACTTTGTTGTTAAATGTCGCAGTTTAACACAAAGCTAGAAGTCAGCCAGGGGTCAGGGGTCAGTGAGAGAGAGAGGGGGTCTGATGGCAGATATTTGACCCCTGCTGTCACACTTAACTGCATTAATATCGAGTTAGGTTTATTTATACTGTGTGGAGCTTCAGGAGCTCAGTGTAGGTCACATTTCAACTGAGAGCAGCGCATCCAGCTGGATTTACTGCATGTTTTATCACTTTTACCACTTTCTTTTTCTTTTTCTTATTTCGAACATGTGCGAGTAAAACAACAAAGTAAACTGACAAACAAACAAATCCAATGAAAACAAAGTCATAGTTATTTAAACCGAGCCTTTCTCCACTACTCAGTTAACTCTTTCTCCCAAACATACATATTTACATAAATATTGTTTACTGTTAATACTTTATGTAATCGCTCCTTATCACTTATTTAGTTTGTACTTATTTTATTTCAGTTTATGCTGCTAAATTATTGTGTGTGTTGTTGTATATACCTACGTTTAACTGCAATTTCTGTTGCATTGAGTTAATTGTTTGATTTATTTAATGTTAGCCTTTATTTTATTTATTTATTTTATTTTACTTTAGCTCATTTTGTATTACTTTCCCACCTTTGTATTGCAGCCGACATGAAGCCGTGTATTAAAACTCCTGAAGTCTGACACTCAGTATTAATCAGTGCTTAACATACAGTATGTGCAATGTTGTAAATGACTTCTTCTACATTGTGTTTTTTAAATAAATAGAATCAAATTGTACCGTGGAAATACTCGATTGAGGTTTTAAGTTTTATGCAAATGACAGAAGCTTTTTCTTTGATAAAGTTAAAATGTGTGACAGAAGAAGTACTGATCTCTCCAGATGCCCCGGCCTTTATACGGGAC